ATGATTTGATACAATGTGATTGCCAATGTTTTCATGATTTGAAAAATCGTATAGTTGATGTGGATGCAGATTGTTGTAGATGAAATGACTGAAGAAACAAAATAATTGTCTAGTATTTTTTTTTTTAGAAATTTGTTAATTAAAGTCTTTATTCATTCTGTGACATTGCTTTAGTTGGAAGAATTATATGACAAAGAGAAAATTATCAAGAAGATGGAAAGTAGAAGTTATGCAGGATGCTTCAGGGATTTCTGTCATAGTAAATATTCAGATGATCTGATGATAACATTCCTCGTGCTGTTCCATGCCTGGGATCTGGTGTCTCTACTTAAGAGAGATATGGTAGTATATTGAACATGTTTAATGCCAGTATATTTCATAGGTAATGTAGCTTTTTGCCTCCGGTCATGGGTAGTGTTTTTTTAAGGTGTACTTCTCAGAAGATATAATATAACTAGACACTTCATTATGTCTGCACATGTTAACTTCCTTTGTAAATTCTTTTTAGTAATTATTGCATAATTTTAATTTTTTTATTAAAAGAAAGAAGTTTTTCAGTTATATGAAGTTAATTTTTTATGTATATGAATCACGTATATAAAATGAAGTGTGAATGAAAGAATGTGAAGAATTGGTTTCATTGTGAATGAATGGGTTGAAAATATATTTTAATAACATTCATTCACACTCATCAAAAATTAACTTCAAGTAATTAAAAAATTAGTTCTTCTAATAAAAAAGAATTAGAAATGCAGATTCAGAGAAAAGAAAAGTTTTATCTTTTGAGCAGTAAGTTAGTTTCTTGTACTGCATATCTTAATGCAATACATTATTAAAATTATCAAAATCGGCTGTTAGAACTGCTTTGATAACGAATAAAGTGTTGTCATAAAAGAAGATACAATACGTACATTGTTCATTTCTTTATCCTCTTTGTAAAAATTCACATGTATAATTTTTATTCCAAAATGTTTACTTCTCACCCTGGCAAATGTGGTAGGCTGAGGCTGGAAATGTTAACAGTAGGTTGTGAATATTTTCTAAAAGGACTTAGGAAACGTATTGATTTTGTATAGTTGGACTTTAAATTATCTAAGTGGATAAAATTTATTGAATTTCCTGGATTCCGTGGAAATGTTGTATCCTTGAAATAAATAATCATGCAAATAAAGAGAATTATTGTTTCACTTATATGTTTGCTTGTTTATGTTACCTTTCACCTAATTTCTAATTGACTTTTATATTATGTAATAAAGTTATTGAAGGTATGAGACATTTCACTTTTCATTTCTAAGGCTAAAACGTGCACAGTGATCATGAAAATCAATTCATCTTTCATTAATTTGAATATTCTATTTAATATCCTTTAAATGACAGGTGAGTACATTAATTTATAGCACTTTTTAACCCATTTTTTATCTTACTTTTAAGAACCGACTTGATTTCCATATTTAAGAAATTTACCTGAAGTTACCGATCAATTGAATTAACAGAGAATTCTGCCCAACAGTACTCCACAATATCTACTAACTTGTACCCTTTTCCCCCCAGAAATCTTTAAATGTAGTGTGAAAATTTTCATGTACTATAAGGAGAAGCCAAAATTATGAAAAGAAAATAACAAATTCATGGTAGTATTATGTTAACTATATATGTCAATTAAGCCTTGTTTTATTAGTCCATAACTGAACAAATTACAATATTTAAGTATATTACAATGAATTCACAAGAACACGCAAGATCGAAAAGTACCGGCAGAATTCTGATAGTTTTTTACAAGGCCTACGTGGGAGCTTTGCAGTATATTCCATTTCATTCTCGTATCTGATGACTTAATTTAATCAATCACACATGTTCTCAACAGTATTTGGAAATGTTTTGAATCACTTAGTATAATTTTTCATCATTAATGACACGTAATTAAATGAATATCTCGTGAAAACCGTTTCTAACATCCATGCGATCAAAATTACATTTAAAAACAAAATTCAGTCAACCGCGGCCAGCTGTGAATGCAACTCAGCTGACTGGGGGAAGAATATTTAGCGGAGAGCGATACGGTCATAGGCAATGTTCATCTGTTATAGAAGCTGTCATTATAATCATTCATTGCCCTGAACGCTCTGTACATCATCTTTATAATCTTCCGAGGAGGAATATTAGTATTATTCATTTATATCACAAGATTAGCATCAAATGATATACTTCTATTACCTGAAAAAGCCATAATAATCAATCTCATTTTATCTACCATAATTTTAATCACAAATTCATTAAATAATTACCTACTTTCATTTCATCTAGACAAAAATATTTTTTTCAAAAATATGATTATTAATACCACAATAGAAAATCAACTTTACAACTACCCAAATTTTCTCCTAACAATTATTACAATTATTTATGTCCTATTCACATTAATTATTATTTTAAGAGTTAATTATTATTTTAAGAGGACCCTTATTACAATCAAATTATTAAACTAATGAATAAACCCTTATGAACAAATCACCCATTATTTAAGATTATTAATAATTCACTAATTGATTTACCAACCCCATCTAACATTTCAACAAGAAACTTCAGATCTCTATTAGGGTTATTTCTAATTATCCCAATTATTACAGGAATTTTCTTATTTATACAACACATCGCTGAATAAGACTTTAGACTTTAATAGAATCAGACACATTTGCCGAGATGTAAATTTTGGATGATTGCTACAAACAATACATGCTCTTGGAGCATCATTCTTTATCAGACTTTATATTCATGTAGGTCTTGGGATATACTGTGGATCTTACAATTTAATACATACTTGAATTGTAGGAGCCCTTATTCTATTTTTAGTAATAGCTTCTGCTTTTATAGGATACGTATTACCATGAGGACAAATATTATTCTGAGGAGCCATTGTTAATTCCCATCTTCTATCAGAAATTCCATATCTAAGGACTGATTTAGTTCTAGTTTGAGGTGGTTTTGCATTTGATAATGTTAATTATGACCACTTGCATTCTTTATTACTCCCATAATTAATTTAATAAACTATTTGAATTATGAGTGTGTGTGATGTAATTGAATTTAATTCCTGCATAACTTAAATTAATCTAATTGTTTATATTAATCTACTTTATGTATTTTCACACAATTTACCAAGATAATGTAAACTTATTTATTATATCTGTACCAGAATATTATTAAAAGATTTCTCTTACTAAAATGCTTAGTGAATGCAGCTAAATATGAATTCATTCAGTAAACTAATATATTAAGAAGAACAGGCTTGCATTTTTTAAGAATTATTTAAGATACTTCATTATTCCCAGTAAAGCAACTAGTTTTGAAGGAATTTATCAGTCGATTAACTTCAGTAGCATTTGTGTGCTGGAGAAACATGAATTCTGAAGTTCCAGAAGATAAGGAATTACTAGTATTATTGGTTACAATGTCCTGCTTTGAATTTAAGAAATGACAGTTAAAAGTCCTACAAATATCAAAAGGCTTATCAAGGAACATGTCTTCAAGTAGTAGGTGTATGTTTTTGTGAGTTTTCCCATTGTACTCTATAATGTTTTAGATTTATTTGTTGAGTTGTTAACTTCATTATTTATTTGATAAGGTTTTTCTCAATTCCTCTGTCTATAATTTACATTTCTTCATTTGTTTATATCTACACCTGCTACTTCTCGTGTCATTTTGATCGCTCAAATCTCTATCCAGTCTATCGATTTGCCAATTAAATTATTCTGGACTATGCAAAACATTATTATTATATTTATAATGCAAATACCTCGTGGTAGGAAATACTCTTGAAATACCGAGTCCTAATGCCAAAAACGAACTAACCAATCCCTGTTTATCATTTCTGGAATTATTATAATACTTACTTACATTCAAGAGCCATATTGATAGTATGTAGTCTTTAACATGGAAGGAGAACAGATTTATTTGATTCGGTATGGTCTTTTGTTTTACTAATTCAAAAGGGCATTCAGGATAAATTAAATATTTCGATTTTGATCCCACTCCCAGCTTGAAAAACAGCAGTAAACGTGCCCGACGCGCCAGGCATTCTTGATCAGGGCCGGTTCACTCAATGTTTAAAAGGCAGGGGCTAAGTTTGTTTCCTCACTCCCGGACCTGTGCAGATAGCGGCCAGGCTGTTGCGTTTTGGCGGGCATTTCCAAGTAAGGTTGTGCGAATTAAATTGTGTGCGTATAGAGATTAAATCAAGAGTATTATTGCTTTCTTATGAATTCAGATTTCAAAACTTGATTTAAATAATATTTTTAAATATTGTATATTATATGTGTATACTTAAAACCAAAATTGTAAGTGATTTATTTATCACTTAATTACTTTAAAAGCAGAAAAAAGTGAACATGAGCTTTTTTAAATTGATCATTTCCTTATGTTTGTTTTAGTTGTTTTTTCACATAGATACTATACAATTTGAGGGGTCTGATGCAATACCGCGCTAACCCACAAAATCTTTAATGTGAGAAACTTATAGTTTCATCATTTCTCATGTGTTCACGTTATCAATAAGCTTGTAACAACAGCTGTTTAAGCTGGGTCAGAAAAAGCAATTCTTTATCAAAAAAATTTTACACTTTCTGTACTATTACCTGATCAAACAAGCTCTTACTGTTAAAAACAACTTAGTTTCACAAATTCTTACAATATTAACAGTTTTTTTAAATATTAATTCTCTTTAATAATTGTCCTGTACTCTTCCCACTTAAATGGTATTTTAACCAATATACACAAGGAAAAAGGTTTCTTAACATTATTAAGATTAAATAACCGTTTTTCCTTAATTTTCACAATATTAATTTTTTTTCTTAAGTGAGTATGCAATAAAATTCATTTTTATTAATGCTTTATTTCTCTAAGATGTTAACATTGTTTGCATTAAGGCAACATTTTACTCCAAATCTGAATTACAATATGCCTTCAAGAATTTATTGTGTTTTTCCTGAAACTAGCTTCGGTGTGTGTATTGTTCCTAAAATTTGCTAATTATCTACAGACCAATGAAATGCTAGATAAAAACTATATATCATCCAAAGTTCATAGTAAATAACTACTACAAATTGTTTATTGTTATTTCATAAGCATCTCATTTTAATAGTATCTAATTGTTAAATTTTTTTTCTCGAATTCTTCAATTAATGTGAAAAAGTTTAAAGAAGATATGATATTCATTGTATAAACTTGTATTGATTTAAGTCTCATTTCTATAACTTAATATTTATTCATTTGTAATATTTTGAAAAATCAACTTATTCAAATGATTTTTAAAAAATTATCATTGATTAATCATGATTGAATCACACCAGACTAATTTTTTGTGACATTTTATAGCCAAAAAAATAGAATTGTAAATTTGATACAAATCAATCATTGGTATTGTGGCTATTTTTGGGAAGTCTTTCAAATCCAAGGTAAAATGAAACAAATTTTAAATTATATCAGTATTTATGTTTGGCAAGGTGATTCGTCTTGTATTTAGTAATAATATAACGGTAAATATGCTTATGTTCTGGGATAAAGAGGGAATTTGCATTGTTTTACAAAATAATCTATAAAATAATTTAAAGGAAGATATACAAAATTTTTATTTCTTTTTTTTTTTTTTTTTTTTTTTTTTAATTTGGCACAGTTTCTCCTAGTTTTAGGCAATCTTAACTTCAAACATAAACATTGACAAATTTCTTCTTGTTAAGGCAGCAATACAAGATTTTTTTATTTTCTAATAGCTATCTGATTGGTTACTGCACATCATGACAATTTCACAAAGTCCGCAAAACTCTCCTCATTGAAAACCTACACATGGGCAGAACAATACTGAATTGTTACGGATGGCAGGAATTTTGACGGTATAATGTTAGAAAATTGATTAGATTTTACTATAATTATCAATAATATTATTACAGGATTTATTGTTCAGATGATTCATTTACCAAGTCAATTTGGCTACATTCTAATTAAAAATCATCTATACATATATAACCTTTCTTAGCACTGAAGTATGTGAAATATCCCAAAAAGTATTATAGCTAATCTTAAATATTCTTTAAAATAACACGTTAAGATATTTAGAGTATATTATTTATTACACACAGTTTTTATTTACACATTCGAAACAAAAGTTTTTTAATTGTTCAACAAACTGCCTAACAAGCACTGGAAAATACATTGAATAAATAATCAAAAAATTTTGAATGTGATTTTGAATTTGAATAGGATCTATTATATCTATATCCTATATCTGTATCGTATCTGTATCTGTATCTGTATCTGTAATCTGTATCTGTATCTGTATCTGTATCTGTATCTGTAAAATCTGTAATCTTATCTGTATCTGTATTCTGTATCTGTATCTGTATCTGTATCTGTACTGTATCTGTAGCTGTAATCTGTATCTGTATTGTTCTGTATCTGTATCTGTATCTGTTCTGTATCTGTATCTGTTCTGTTATCTGTAATCTGTATCTGTATCTGGTATCTGTATCTGTAATCTGTATCTGTTATCTGTATCTGTATCTGTATCTGTATCTGTATCTGTATCTGTTTCTGTATCTGTATCTGTATCTGTACTGTATCTGTATCGTATCTGTATCTGTTATCGTATCTGTATCTGTATCTGTATCTGTATCTGTATCTGTATCTGTAATCTTGTATCTGTATCTGTATCTGTATCTGTTATCTGTATCTGTATCCTGTATCTGTCTGTATCGTATCTGTATCTGTATCTGTATCTGTATTGTATCTGTATCTTGTAATCTGTATCTGTATCTGTATCTGTATCGTATGCTGTATCTGTATCTTGTTAAATCTGTATCTGTACTGTACTGTATTGTATCTGTATCTGTATCCTGTATCTGTATCTGTATCTGTAATCTGTATCTGTATATGATATCTGTATCTGTATCTGTTATCTGTATCTGTATCGTGTATCTGTATCCTGTATCTGTACTGTATCTGTACTCTGTTATCTGTATCTGTATCTGTATTGTATCTGTATCTGGTTCTGTATCTGTATACTGTAATCTGTATCTGTATCTGTACCTGTATCTGTAATCTGTATCTGTATCTGTTATCTGTATGCTGTATCTGTATCTGTATCTGTAATCCTGTATCTGTATCTGTATCTGTATCTTGTAATCTGTACTGGTATCTTGTATCTGTATCTGTATCTGTATCTGTATCTTGTATCTGTATCTGTAATCTGTATCTGTATCTGTATCTGTATCTGGTTCTGTAAATTGTAATCTGTATCTGTACTCTGTATCTGTCACTGTCATCTGTATCTGTTATCGTATTGTATTGGTATCTGTATGCTGTATCTTCGTATTCTGTTCTGTATCTGTATCTTATCTGTATCTGTATCTGTATCTGTATTGTAATCTTGTATCTGTATCTGTCTCTGTATCTGTATCGTAATCTGTATCTGTATCTGTAACTGTACTGGTACTGTTTGTTATCTGTATCTGTATCTGTAGTCTGTATCTGTACTGGTATCTGTATCGTATCTGTATCTGTAGTCGTATTCTGTATCTGTTATCTGTATCTGTATCTGTATCTGTTCCTGTATCTGTATCTTATCTGTATCCTGTATTCTGTATCTGTATCTGATTTGTATCTGTATCTGTATTGACATGTCGTATCTGTATCTGTAATCTGTACTGTATCTGGTATCTGGCTGACTCTGTATCTGTTCTGTATTTAACTGTATCTGTATCTGATATCTGTATCTGTATTGGTCTTGTATCTGTATCTGTATCTGTATCTGTTCATCTGTATCTGTATCTGTATCTGTATCTGTATCTGTTTGTATCTGTTCATCTGTATCTGTATCTGTACTCTGATATTGTTTTTCTGTATCGTATCGTATATGTAGTCTAGTAGTCTGTATCTTATCTGTATCTGCTTATCTGTTCATCTGTATCATGTATCTGTATCTGTATCTGTATCTGTATCTGTATCTGTATCTGTATCTGTATCTGTTATCTGTATCTGTATCTGTATCTGTATCTGTCGATATCTGTATCTGTATCCTGTATCTTATTTGTATCTTGTATCTGATCTGTATTTGTCATCTGTATCTGTATCTGTATTCTGTATCTGTATCTGTTATCGTATCTGTATCTGGTATTTGTCCTGATCTGTAATCTGTATCTATATCTATATATCTATATATCTATTCTGGACC